GTGATGCTAATAGATAGTGAAGCTAACAGACAAAGAAGCTAATAGACAGAAACACTAACAGCGTTTTTTTGTTTGTTTTTTTACAATTTTGACCAGGGTTTTCCTTTGGTTTGTTTTGGACAGGGTTGTTGTTTTTTATGCTTTTATGCTAAGTTTTATGTTTTATGAATTGTCGACAGTTTGTGCACTATTTTAGGCGACTTTTGAGTAGTTTTGGACAAACATCAAGTCATGTTGGATGTTTGTCAATGAACTCTGGTTTGAATGAGTCTAAACTCCATTTCTAGAGTCTGTCTAAACTTCTTCTACACCTGAGTTTTCTACAGCTGCTGCACCTGCAGTCTTTCTAGCCTCCTGCTACCTGCCTCCATCTTTAGGCCTCCTTCGCCGCTGGTGTCCACCAATGGCTTCTCAGGTAGCTGCCATGACAGTCGCAGATGACTTTCTGACTACAGCTTCAACAGCTGCTTCTACAACAGAGGCTGGAGCATGGTCCATATGGATTCCATGTCCAGAACCGTCCCCACACACGTGTTGGGGAGGTGACTCCATCCTGGACTAAAGTTCCAGGTTTTTTTTGTTTGAATCGCTCTTAGTCTGGAACCTCTCCTAGGACCAGTTTGCCTCGAAGGACCCAACAACCATGGGACCCTGAAAACATCCGTCCTAGGATCACTGGGACACGCAAACCCCTCCACCACGGTAAGGTGGCGATTCTGCGGGGGGTTAAATTTTATTTTAGAATATTTTGATTTTTTTTTTTATGTTTTGTTACTTCTTTTTTTGTACTTTTTTTTGGTTATTTTTTGGTCAGATTGGTTTTTTTTTCATATTTTTAAATGTATTTTTTCAAATATTTTAACGTGTTAATTGATCCTGAGTATTACTGTAGTACTATAGTATTATAATGCAGCGCCTGGCGGATGGAGGGATGAGGAGGTGATGAGGAGGTGATGAGGAGGTGAGGAGAAGGGAGAGCTTCTATTCTTCTGCCTCCAGCTCCTGAAGCGGTTTTTCTAGTTCATCTGTTTTATGTTTCTTTGCTCTCTTTCTTTCTGCTTTTTCTTTTTTCTCCTTCTCTTTCTCCTCTTTCTCTTTCCTCTCTCTCTCCTTCTTCTCCTCTTTCTCTTTCCTCTCTCTCTCCTTCTTCTCCTCTTTTTCTTTCCTCTCTCTCTCCTTCTTCTCCTCTTTTTCTTTCCTTTCCATCTCCTTCTTCTCCTCTTTTTCTTTCCTTTCCACCTCCTTCTTCTCTATCTTGTCCTTCTTTTTCTGCTCCTTCTTAGCGTCTTTGATTTCTTTCTCCTCCTCTGTCTTTCTGAGATTCTTTATCCAGCTCATAAAGTCTCTCCTCTTTTTCAGAGTCACCATGTAAGCTGACTGCAGCTTCTGGTGCTTCTGCTCCATCCCGGTCTTTTGCTGCTGAAGCTCCTGGATCTTGTCCTCTTTGACCTTCTCCACTTCTTCCAGCTGTGTCACCTCTTGTAGGATCTGCTGGACTTGAGCTTCTGTGTGGCTCAGCTGCTGGCTGGTCTCGCTGAGCGTCGCAGAGAGACTCTCCGTCAGACTCTGCAGTCTGAGGATTTCCTCGTCCTTGAGCTGGTTGGACTCGGCGTTGTTGCGTCTCTCTGCCTTCAGAGCTTCTTCCAGGTCTTCATATTGACTCACTCTGTCCTTCAGCTCTTGATTTTCTTTTCTGCAGCTGCGACAGAGTTCGTCCGCCTGGTTCTGCTCGGCCCTCAGTTTCCTGATGGTCGCATTCATGGAGTCGACCAGCTTCAGCAGGGCTGTGTTCTGCTGGACCAACTCCTGATGGACCTTCAGGTCTTCTTCCTCCCGCTCCTCCAGCCTTTGCTCCAGAGCCTCCACGTAACTCTGGAGTTCTTCATTCTTCTTCTCCAGTCTTTTGTTGGACGATGCAGAAAGACTCTCCGTCCGACTCTTGAGTCCGAAGATTTCTGGGTCCTTCTGCTCGCTGCCCTGGTTCACCTCCTGTTGGTGTTCTTGGAGGTTTTTCTTTGCCTCAGAATTATCTGAGGCCTTTGTTCTCTGGGGAACGGGAGGAGCCTTCTGCTTCTTCTTGACGACGGCGGGAGGTGCTGTAGCCTCTTGTGGACTTTCCTCGTCGATCTTTCTAAGGAAAGTGGCAAACCCGGTTCTGCGTCTGGTTTGTTCCATGTCAGTGGGATTAATGACTTTACACAAGTGAAGCAAGGAGTTGTTGTTCTGCTAGCGTCTGTAGTCAACTGCGCTTGTGTAGATGCTGTCGGTTCTCTTGAGAGCTCAGTAGTTTGGTGAAGATCTCGTCGGTTTCCTGACTGTAGATATTCGCTGCTACCAGATACCTGTCGCTGTGTGCAAGTGTTCAAGTCCTCAGTCTGGAACCCTGTTTATGGGCTGACATCATGACATCATCAGAGTTTGGCTTTGATGATGTCATCACATCATAGGTGGAACCCTCACTCACACACACACACACACATACATGCACACAGAGGACATAGTCCCCACAATGTAGCAAAAACAAGTACACACACACACAGCAGAGTTCTAGAATATTCTAGTCTGTTTGTGTGTGTGTGTCTGTTTGTCTGTCTGTGTGTGTGTGTCTGTGTGTATGTGTCTGTGTGTGTGTCTGTGTGTCTGTTCTTCACCTGTATCTCAACAACCGTTCATCTGATCCTCTTCAGACTTGGCAGGTGCGTCGTCAGGGACCCGAGGAAGTGCGGCGCAGAGTTTGAAGCAGATCGGGTGAATAGAAGCCGTTAAAATAGTTTTGGACTTTTATGAGACTTTTTATATATCTTTGTGTCATTGTGGATAACTTAGCAGACAGTAAAGCTAATACACGGTGGAGCTAATGGACAGTGAAGCTAATGGACAATGACTAACAGCATGAAGTGGAGCTAACGAACGTAAAGTTTTAGGAAGCTAATAGACAGAAGTTAGAAGACAGATGTTAACAGGCAGAGAAGCTGGCAGACAGTGCAGCTAACACACACTTGAGCTTATAGACAGTAGAGCTAACAGACAGTGCAGCTAACAGTCACTGGAGCTAACAGACAGAAGCTCACAGACTTAAGTTAGCAGACAGATGCTAAAAGACAGCAGTTTACAGGTAGAGAAGCTAACAGACAGAAGCTAACAGACAGTAGGCCTAACAGATCATGAAGTGAAGCTAACCTACACTGGAGCTGACAGACAGAAGCTAAAAGACAGAAGTTTACAGGTAGAGGAGCTAACAGATTGAAGCTAGCAGACAACTGAGCTAATAGACAGTGGAGCCAATGGACAACGGCTATCAGACCATGAAGTGGAGCTAGCAGACAAAAAGCTTACACACCGTTAAGCTAACAGACGGTGGAGCTAACAGATAAATAAAATGAATGGTGTTAGCAGCATCTGCAATGACTGTCGACCTCTCACTGTTCCACTCTGCTAATGAATCCTGAGCTAATTATACTTCGAGAGAAGAAGAAGAGGAAGGTTTTCCCGAGGGGGTGTTGGTGTGTTTGTGTTTGTCTTTGATCCAGAGCCAGCAGGGACCAGGACCGAACCCCCCACGGCGCTCTGCTGGTCCTCATCTCAGCTCTGATTGTACAAACACTCTGATTCTGCTGGTTTATATGGAGAAATGTGGCCTTTAAGTGGTTCTGTTGTTTTATGGACTTCTGTAGGACACCATCACAACAAGGATCTGTAATGCTGTTGTGTTAGCAGGCTAACATGCTAAATATTAGCACTGCTAATATGTCATTTTTTTTGTGAGTGTAAGTGTGTTTGTGAATTGATTTAATATTTAAAATGTTAATTGGGTCATGGAGATTTGAACACAATAGACCACCAAATTAGAAGCTTTAGCACAGCTCAACAAAATAAAAGCACAATTTTAGGTCAGCAAAATAAATTATCCTTGTCATGACAAAATAAAAGCTCCATTTCAACCAGCAAAATAAGCACACTAGCTCTGGTTAACAAAGTTTTGATTAAGAAGTCACTTATCACTGACGAAATAAAACTTGGACTTTAACTCAACAAAATAGAAGCACTTCACAAGACAAAATAAAAACCAACAAAATAAAAGCATTAGCTCAGATCAACAACAGGCAAAAAAAAATCCAGAGTTGAGTTTAGAAAAGTAAGAGCTTTTCTTCAGCTCAACAAATAAGAGCCTCAGCTGTTGTTGGTTTACGTAAAGCAAAACTTTGTGAGTGTCAGCTTCATGTTGACAAAATAAAAGCTCCTGCTCAGCCAAATTAAACAAACCCCAGGTCCAATCAACAAAATAAAAGCACCTGGTCTTATAAAAGTCTGGTTTCAGCTTAACAAAATAAAAGCATGAGTTGAGCTCAACAAAATAAATTACCCAGTCTGTCAAAATAAAAGTTTTCAGATGCTCAGTGAGGTAGCTGCTGTGAACTCGGCTGTCAGAGTAGAAACAGTAGAACCGTCTGTATTTGGGGCGACACTCATTAATGCTGAACGCGGTTCCAAGTGATTAATCGGGTTCATCAGCTGAGCCCGTTAACGCCCCACAGCCACGACGGAGTCACCGAGTCCGGTTACACATCACGTAATTACATCTGAGATGAACTGCCTCCAAACATTTACGTCACTGAACTGAAGTGACCCCTGGCACCATGGCAGCTCCGACCGGAACCTTCAGAACTGTCAGAACCAGCTGCATCTCATTTACACACAACTTCAGCAGACACAAACCATCACAAAACTCTGCAGGTCTGAAGGTGTTTCCTGTGTTTGAATGTGTTGCAGGTTGGAAGCCGTCCACTGCGGCTGCTATCCCCTGTGTCCGAAGGCGCTGGTGTATCCTGAGATATTTCCAGGTAAACTCACCTGGACTACCTGGTCCGCTAAGCATCAGTCACTGTCACAGTTTCTTCTTCTGTCTCTAATCCAGCACAGTACCTGTACTCCACACTTGAGCAGCTTGTTGTTGTTCTTCTGTCTCTAATCCAGCACAGTACCTGTACTCCACACCTGAGCAGCTCTGTAAGCGGCTGCAGGGACTCTGCAGGAGGCCTGATGTCGCCAGGAGACATGTCGTCATGGTAACCACACAAACTGAGCCACACATGTGCAAACACTGCACTACATGTCCCACAATGCACCTGGACAGCATCTGTCATCAGATTGTATGTTCCGTTTGAACTGGGAAAGTCCAGTTTACTTAGAATTAGCTTCAAGGTCCTGTTAGCTCAGAGTTAGCATCTTACAAGTAGCTCACAATTACTTCCTAGGTTAGTTTCTTAGAAGCTATTTTGAAGCTACCTCTAGGTTCTGTTAGCTCAGAGGTAGTTTCTGGGTCCTCTTTACTCAGAGTTAGCTTGGTACAGTTACCTCAGCATTAACTGCAAGATTCTGTTAGCTGAGGTAGCGCCATAAATTTATCTCAAAGTTAATTCCAAGGTCCTGTTACCTCAGAGTTAGCATCACAGAGTTAGCACAGAATTAGCTTCAGGGTCATGTTAGCTCAGAGGTCGCTTGAAAGGTTAGTTTAGAATTTGCTTGAGCATACAGTTAGCGTAGTGTTAGTCTCTAGAGCCAGTTAGCTCAGAATTAGCTTGTAGCTCCTGACTAACTATAGCCTCAGTTAGCATGTTAGCTAGCAGGATACAACATGTAAATATCAGGGTTGCAGAAGCGTATGAAAGGCTTTTATTTTGTAAGAGAGAAACAAACATCCGGATTAAACACTGAAGGCTGTCGAGCTGCTGATTCATCAATCTATGCCTCTGGTTCTGGTTCTGGTTCTGCAGGTCGACACCTCCTCCTACTCCTGGGCCGCTCTGAGGCTGAGGTTTCAGACTCTGCTAACAGATGAGCATCCGTGAATGCACCATGGACATCTGGAGGTCCGGCAGTTTGAATCGGTGCGGTTCGTCTCTGCCTCCTCTGAGCTCTCAGTCAAAGCGGGTCTGGACCTGTTAACATTCCGTCTCCTGTGAGCAGGTTGGAGGGTTAACGTGTTGAGTCTGTCATGTTTCAGAGGTGGAACCATGTCGTGTTTCTACACAGATCCTTCTACGATACACGGGACTGAGCCGCAGCCAGAACCTGCTGCCCTAAACTGCCTGGTTCTGGTCCTAGTCTCAGCTCTGGTCCTGGTCTCAGTTCTGGTTATCATCAGACAAGTTTGAACACAGTTCAGGAGGATTTCATCCAAACATCAGCCTGTTTTTAATGAAGTCACATTTTCTAAAAGACTCCTTCAGATCTAATCAATAATCAATAGACTGACCTGTGGAAGCTCATTCCTGCCGATTAAGTGTGGACGAAAGTCAAAGACAAAAAAGAACATCAGGAAAATAACAATGACAACTTTATTTGATAAGGAGTCAAAAACAACGCTGCCAATAAAGTTTTGTTGTAGTTTTGTAAAATGATGTGAATTTCTCTGTTTGCACGGTAAACCTACAAGACCTTGAACACATCACACTGTGGTCTGTTGTCCCTGTTGAACGTTGACCCTGAACGCAGCATGCAGTTGTCTGTTGACCTCAAAAGCATCATAATGTTATATGCTGATCAGAACGCATCACACTGCTGTATGCTGACCATGAACGCAGCTTGCTGTTGACCTTGAAGGTATCATACACTGTTGTCTGCTGTCCTTGAATGCATCACGCTGTTCTAAGTTGAACCTGACGCCTCATACTGCTGTTTGTTTACCACGAATGCCTCACACAGTTCTTTACTGGCCCTGAATGCCTCACGCTGTTGTCTGATGACCCTGAATGCATTGCGCTGTTGTCTGATGACCCTGAATGCATCACGCTGTTGTCTGATGACCCTGAATGCATTACGCTGTTGACTTTGAACGCATCACGGTGTTGTATGTTGACCCTGAATGCCTCATACTGTTGTCCCAAAAACGTATCATGCATGTTTCCTTGAATGCATCGCGCCCTGAACACTGTTGTTTACTGTCCCTGAACACATCACACTGTTGTTCCTGAACGCCTCATGCTGTTGGCTGTTGTCCCTGAATGCATCCTGCTTTGGACCCTGAACGCCTCATGCTTTTGGCTGTTGTCCCTGAATGCATCATGCTTTGGACCCTGAACGTCTCATGCAGTTGGCTGTTTTTGATGAATATCTTGTGCTGTCGTATGTTGACCTGAATGCCTCAGTGTTGTTTACTGTCCCTGAATGCATCACGCTGTTGACCCTGATCACCTCACATTGTTGTTTGCTGTCCCTGAATGCATCATGCTGTTGTATGTTGTCCCCGACGCATTGCGCTGTTTTCTGTTGTCCCTGAACGCCTCATGCTGTTGTCCAAGTGTTCATGGGAATCCTTCTCATGCTGTTGTCTGTTTTCCCTGAATGCCTTATGCTGGTTTTTGTTGGTTGTCCATGAATGCCTCACAGAGTTGTCTACTGTCCCTGAATGCATCATGCTGTTGTCCATGTATTCATGGGAATCCTCTTGTCATTGTTGTAAGTTGACCCTGAACACATCACACTGTTGTCGGTTGTCTGTGAACACATCATGCTGTTGTTTCTTGTCCTTGAATGCGTCACGCTGTTGTCCCTGAACGCCTCATACTGTTGTCTGCTGTCCCTAAACTCATCACGCTGTGGTATGTTGACCCTGAACGCCTCACACTGACTCTCCGGTGACGTGCGGTTTCAGGCGGCGGCTGGAGGTGGTTGTCGGTTGCAGCGGTGAACTGAAGCGTTGGAGCGTGCTCAGTGGTGGTGTCGCTGTAGATCTGTGCTGCGATGCGTTCGCTGCGTGCGAGTGCTCCTCGGCGTTTCGTGTCGTGGCCTGAGGTCGGGTGTGAAGTCACGCGGCCCGTTTCTTCGTGTGAACGCAGGAGATGCTTCAGTGCAGCTGCAGGAGTTGAGTCAGTGAACGCAGCCTGCAGCTGCGAGCTGCTCGGCGAGCTCAGCTTCAACGTGTCAACAGAACCAGCAGAGAGGCGACTTTTCTGCATCTTTAGACACATCTGGAGACGTTTCATCAACCTTCAGGAGCGTAGATGACGTGCTGGACGTCCACCTTTCACTGCTCAGAGTTCAGTCTTTGATTTCTTCGGTCCTTTATTTGTGATGACAGAGCGACTCCTCCTCGGCGTGGAGCAGACCAGAGTCCACAATGTGCTGCAAACATGTTCTTACGTTCTGAACACTTGAGTTTCTCCAGCTGCTCTTTGCTGAAGGTTTCGTGTTCTACTTCTCTCCCTGAAATACCCCAAAGGTGTTGTGTTGGCCTGAAGTCAGGGGACAAACGGTCCACATCTTCCTCTCCCTTTGTTCTTGTGTAGAACCTGTTGTGTGATTTTGGGCTTTGGGTGGTTCTCCTGCTCGTCTTCAGGCTTCTGCAGACTGAGAGTCGTCTCATCAGTCTGGATTCTGGTTTTTTTCATGCTGCCTCTATAAATGTCATCATGCAGCCCCACATCATGATGCTGCCACCTCCGTGCTTCACTGTCAGGACCATGCATCCACTGTGGTGGTCCTGGTCAGGTTCACACCAAACATCTGGACTCCATGTGAGCCCAGCACATTGATCTCCATCTGACCAGAGGATGTTCTCCAGCATCCATCAGGCTTCTGTTCATGTTCTTTAGCAAACTTTGATCTGGACATTTTGTTCTGAGCAGCAGCCAGGTTTAGTTCTGGTCCTCCGTCCATCAGCGCTGATGTTCTGAGGTTATGTTGTAAACTGTTGGTGGTTTGGACTGACGTGACTTCAGAGGTGATGAAGTCATGAACACCTTCAATCCTGTGAGCTCATAGTACAACAAACCAGACTCTAGTTCACATGTCAACACACTGTATAATTTAAAGTGGTGATAAATAGCAGTCACAAGGAAAAGAAAGCTGAAAGAGAAAATAATAATCAGCACAACGGCGACAGAATGGCACCAGATCGAACCGAAAACCAGCCGTTTCATATCGCATTATTATATCCTTTGAAACTCTCGGCGCTCCAATAAAAAGGATGTGATGTTACGTTTAAGGGTGAAATGTTGGTTTAAGGTGAACAAATTAAACTCTGAGACAAACAGCAGGAAGGCAGTTTGGTTCAAGGCTTTTTCTGAAAACTGTTGGATTATCAACAAAGAGCAGCGACAGTAATTTCACGCTTCAGGAGCGAAGCCGGTTTCTGTCTGCAGAGCTCCGATTGTGGCTGCGACACCTCCAGCACCGACCTGAAATATGCCGCCGCCGCCGCCGCCGCCGCGTGTTCGCGAAGCCACAGCGGCTTTGTTCACCGTCCTTCTGCAGTCAAACATGCCGTCTCGTTCTCCAGCGTCTGGATCCGTCGTTCAAACAGAATAAAATCAACCAAATGTGAGCAAAGTTTCCTCCTGACCTCCTCAGAATCAGCTGGTTCTGGATCGACGGTGACTTTAGAGTGTTTAATGAAGCAAAGTTCTACCTTCACACTGTGAATGTTTCCAGAGTCCTTAAAGTCCACAGAGGAGGCTCCAGATTTATCACTTTTTAATTTCCATCATTTATTTAACCAGTCCAGTAGATAGACACGTGACATTATGGTGAAAAATATCTGAAAACAGAAGCTGGAAACCACAGAAAACTGGTGATTGAAAACATAGAAAACGTGACTTAAAATGGCAAAACAACATAAACAAGGGAGTGAAAATGTCCGAAAGTCGTGACTGAAAACAACCAGAAGTGAAAAGGACACAAATCAGTGACTGAAAACTGCAGAAAGTGATTCTTGAAATCAAAAGAAAACTGACTTAAAATGGCAGAATGGGGACTGAAACAACTTAAACGAGGGACTGAAAATGATTAAAAACAACACAATACAGTGACTGACAGCTGGTGTTTGTAGGTCGGTGATTAATAAACGACAGAAAGAAAAAAAAAACGGGACTGAAAACAGCTTTAATGAGGGACTGAAAAAACTAAAATGGCTGAAAATGTCAGAATAAAGAGAAATGGACTGAACATGACTAAAAACAGGTCAAACCAGTGAAAAACTACAGAAAGCAAAAATGAAAGAACACAGCGACTTAAGAAGAAGAAAACTGGACTGAAAAAAAAAAACATCACGACTGAAACCTGTGACTGAAAACAACTGAAAATTCCTCAGAACAGGAAGTGAAAACAGCTGAAGTCAGTGACAGAGAAACGGTGTTAAAAATGAAAGAAAACTGCAACTTAAAATGTCTAAAGAGGGACTGAAAACAGCTTCAACAAAGAACCTAAAATGACTTTAATTAGGGACAGCAAACGTGTGGAAACGACAAAAGCCTGAGTGGAAACAGGCCTCGTGCTGGTGACACGGCGGCGACGCTTCGTCTGTGATCTGACGGCGTTAATGAACGCCTCCGTGTTGAGACGTGTTAATGAACGCCGTGTCGGAGGCGGAGACGCCGCTTAGCCGTTTAGCGGAGCAGAAACAAAACGAGAACCTCGTCTTTGAAGCTGCGGCAGGTTTAAACGAAGGCAGCTTCACAAGTCGCTGCTCCCCGGAGACACTCCAAGGTGCTGCAATGATCAGTCAGACCGTCAATACGCTGCCTTTTATCTCACTTTCTGTTTCAAGCAACTCGACCGTTTACAGCCGAGGACGAGCATCCTGAGTCTGGAGGAACATTTAAACCTCTCAGCGTGACTTAAACGTGACGCAGCAGAACGAGTTGAACCTGAGAAACCTACAACTACAGATAAAAACGCTTCATGCACTGAATTCATCGCAGAGTTCAAACAGTTTGGCGGTTTTTAAATACGATTTGCTGGAAAAAAAATAAAAAAAGATATTCCGAGAACTGAAAACATCTTCAACTAAAAAGATCTGAAAATGTGAGAAACCACTGGCTGAAGACGACAGAAAAGGACAAACGACGTAGCTGCCGCCGAAAACGGCTGAAATTAGCAAACAAGCATGTCGGCAGACGAGACACACAAGAGTGACTGGAAACTACAAAACGATTAAAAAAGAAAGAAAAAAAACAGTGACTGAAATCGTTCTGATTGTCATAAAACAGCAACTACCGTAAAATCCAGACTATGAGCGCACCTGAATATAAGCTCCACCCACTGACTTTAACAGGAAACCAGGTGTGTTCACATCCAGGCTGCTCTGGTCTCTAAGCTGCAGGTGTCCACGTTGGAACATGAGATATTTATTTTTAACCTTTAATTAAATGCGTAGCGGTAACATCCACAGATACGTACCGTAGAGGCTTTTTTCTGAACACTTCCTGTAACACGGCTGGTTAAGGAAATAAAACTCCAGCAGCTACCAGGAAAAGTCCCTGATGGCTATCTTCATCTTCCTCCTGCACTAAAACCACTAAAGTCGTCTTCTTCAGTGTCTTCAGGAGCTGAACAGCCTCAGAATCACTTCATCACTTCCTCAGTCTCTCTGTCGTCGTCGCTCTCAGCCTCACTTTGGTCTCCAGGTGAATTCATAAGAATCCATCAACTATCCGCATCGTTGTTCAAAACATGTGGGCAAAGTAGCGGCTTATAGTCTGGAATTTACGGTAAAAACAACAGAAAACAGGAAGTGAAAAGTCAAACTTTATTGATCCGTCAGCAGATGATAAATCACCTTAAACATTAAACATTAAACTAACCAACACGTGCATCATAACCCAGATTCATACTTTGGCTGTTGGTACTTTTCTACTTGATGTAACTGCAGTACTTGTACTTGTAACTAGTATTTCTGAGCTGCAGCGCTTTAACCTAAAGCTCTGATTTGCTCGTCAGAGTCGAACTCACGGCAGCTGGAAGAGCTGCTCAGAGCTTCGTCTGGTGTTTGGGAAGCGTTTTCCAGGAGGGAGGTCACGAAGCTGCTTCCTCCTCCTCCTCCTCCTCCTCCTCCTCCTCCCCCCTCGTCCTCCTCTGCAGAGATTTAGTGAAACACTCGACCACAAAAGCCCGTTTAAGTCTGTCACTTTCCCATCGTTCCCAGTCCTGCCGCCAAGCCCCGAGACATCTGATTTAGGGAATAATAAAACACAGAGAAATGGTTTTCCCATAATTACAGAGCGCCTTATCTCGGCACGAGAGAAGAAAGGAGCAGATTCCACAGCGAGACTCGGCCTGTAAACGGAGACGCCGAGCGCCAGAGTGTTTCTGGCTGATCTGAAGCCGATGTGTCGGACCGGCGGAGCAACTTTCTGGCTCCACCATCAATGAAACTGTCGCTTCAGAAGACGTCGTGTTTGTGGAGAAGCAGGAACGTCTTTAATCTGACTCAGATTTATTATTAAACTTGACTTCTTTTTATTTTCTGTGATTCTTGTTCAGGAGACAGATTGAATTTAATTTGATGTATCACAAGTTTTCTCAGATTTTCAGTTTAAATATGCAAATTATCTCATTAAATATGCACAAATTTGCAAAGACTTCCAGAACAGAAACATGTGCATTGAGCGGATCAGCTGCATGTAAGGTTTGTAATTACCTCATAAATCAGAAAATACTTTGAAGATGCTGGAAAAAAAATCTATTTCCTGTTTTTACAAAT